GTAACAGTCGGTATAATAGGCCAGTGCCAAAAAATGTGAAAATGGTAAAAAGTGAAGAAAAATTAGAACAGGACGATACCCATTGGAAAATGAAGAAAAGATAACACATCCTTTTATGACCTAGAACTTTGCTATTTAACTTTTTTCGATAGAACTTGTAGTTTTGCCGGAAATCGTGATAAACCGTTTTCTACCCTTAAAAGCTCCCCCTCTTCCACTTCCCGACCTCAGATCGCCGGTAAATTATTTTTCCTTTTATTTTTGTATGATTTTCTTCTTTTTCCAATGGGTGTCATCCTGTTCTAAATTTTTTGTTCTCAAAAATTATCGGCCCTCGCCTATAAGGGTTACGTGGAATAGCATAACGCAGCTAAATATTAATGAAAATAAACATTATAAGACTGTTATATTATAAATCTTGTTAGATAAATTGTAAAGATGAGATCTTAAGAAACGATTAATTAATGTGTCCAGATCTTTTAAAAACGATTTCAGATAAATCAAGGATAACGTCAGATTTGCAAGGGTTCCAAGATAATTACATTATCTAAGAGTTCTATTCTAGAAGTAGAAAAAATGCACAGATTTTTAACGATTGCTAAAAGTTATTGTTATTAGTAATGCTTTATAGCATACTCGTCAAAGCAAAGACAAGGCTTTGGTTTTAAACAAACTTAAGTCTAATTTCGCTAAGAAAAGTTATTTGCCATAATCTCCGTATTAAAAATACAGATTTATTTAAATAACTGCTGAATCCAAAATGTCTTAAAACCTCTGCCACACGTGTACAGAGCGATACATTCGAGGAGCACAGAGTGCTCGAAAGTAACACTCTTTGCTACTTATAGCGATAAGTCAATATAGAAATTAAAAATTCTAAAGCGTTTTCTGCTCGAGGAATAATATTAATATTTAGTTTTCGGCAGATTTAACCAACGAGTTAGAATGACATTTGTTTGACAACTATTGATCCAAATTTAATATTTTATAATGTTACTCAGAACGAGACTTTTGAGCATCAGAGAATGCTCGAAAGTAACAATGGGTATAATAGGCCAGTGCCAAAGCCTTTGAAAATGGTAAAAAGTGAAAAAAAATTAATTAGAACAGGACGATACCCATTTGAAAAGGAAGAAAAGATAACAAATCCTTTTATTACCTAGAACTTTGCTATTTAATTTTTTTCGTTAGGACTTGTAGTTTTACCGGAAATCGTGATAAACCGTTTTCTACCCTTAAAAGCTCCCCCTCTTCCACTTCCCGACCTCAGATCGCCCGTAAATTATTTTTTCCAATTTCTACTAATAAAATGGTCATTTTGTATGTTAAACGGCGCTATTAAAACAATAGTTCAATCGGAAGGATGAATAAAATGTTTACAGCAACACTTTATTCACACTGTCATTGACAACACGAACAAAGTAAAAAATCTAAAAATTCGCACTACCACTGAAATTTTCGTTGCTATGGATGTGTGGATATTCAACTAAAATTTGCAACGCTTGATAGTCCACCTCCTGTAAAACAATCCTAATGAAAGTCCAGGAACATCCTTTGAATTTGACCGTGACGAAAGTAGAGGCAGCTTAGGCAATTTACCTTCTTTAAATGTTCATCATATTAGTAATAGTGCAATTAATATTTATGTATATGGATCACCTAAACAATAAATTTTTTGAAAAATTTTCCAAATTGGAAAAAATCTTGTATGATACACGTGAATAAAGGAATTTTATTCACTTATACCATAAATAGCTATTTCCTTTTATTTTTGTTTTATTTTCTTCCTTTTCCAATGGGTGTCATCCTGTTCTAAATTTTTTTGTTCTCAAAATTTATCGGCCCTGGCCTATAAGGGTTACGTGGAATAGCATAACGCAGCTAAATATTAATGAAAATAAACATTATAAGACTGTTAAATTATAAATCTTGTTAGATAAATTGTAAAGATGAGATCTTAAGAAACGGTTAATTAATGTGTCCAGATCTTTAAAAAACGATTTCAGATAAATCAAGGATAACGTCAGATTTATTAGGGTTCCAGAATAATTACATTATCTAAGAGTTCCATTCTAGAAGTAGAGAAAATGCACAGATTTTTGCCGATTGCCAAAACTTATTGTTATTAGTAATGCTTTAATTTTCTAGCATATCATACCCGTCAAAGCAAAGAACAACGCTTTGGTTTCTAAAAAAATGTAAGTCCAGTCTCGCTAAGAAAAGTTATTTGCCATAATCTCCGTATTGAAAATACAAATTTATTTAAATAACTCCTAAGTACAAAATTTCTTAAAATCTGTGCCACACGAGTACAGAACGATACATTCGAGAAGCTGAGGGCGCTCGAAAGTAACACTGTCTGCTACTTTTAGCCATAAGTCATTAGAAATTAACAATATTAAAGGGTTTTCTGTTCGAAAAATAATATTAATATATAGTTTTCGGCAGATATAACGAACGAGTTAAAATGACATTTTTCTTTCAACTATAGATCCAAATGCAATATCAGTGAATTAGTAATTGAGGCGCTAGGCGGAATAATCACCCGACTTGACTTAAGTGATTATTTCGTAAATTGCATAAAAATATTCTTTATGATTTTTTTAGGGTGCTATGTAAACCACTTCTTAATGTCGGGTCTGGTGAATAAGTTGCTGTTAATTTTTAGTTAAGTTGTTAGTTCGAATTTCAAGAAATGAGTGGAATAGTCACCCTACTTGAATTAGGTCGTTACTGCGTAAATTGCATAAAATACTTAATTGAAGGCCCGCAGAACAGGTACGCTGTGACATCATTCGATCAAGTAACCTGTGAAACAAAAGCGTCGCGAATTACAATTGTCTAAATAAAATAAAAAGAAAACTTTATACGAAATTGAGTTTTATTGTTAGGAATACTTAGAAATTAATGTATGGTAATTTAATTTTGTTGGTATGTATTTTATATAATCGTTACTAAACTTTGCTCCATACCCTAGAGGTAAGAACATATCGTTTGCCAAAATCAGTCTTATCCTTAGATCATATAATAAATAGATACCAATACTCAAACTGAAAGCTGTGACTAGACATGAAGCTATCTGTTGTCGTTTTCTACGTCAAGAAGAGTAGAATAATACTATCCTTGTGTGATCACCACATCTTCATCTTTGTTATTTTTTTTCATCTGTATATGTCTATTTCACTTCTATCCTTGTACCGCACCAGCACAACAAATCGCTTTTGACAGATGTTTCTTCTAACCTCTCTTTCGAGTTGTTGTACAGAAAACAATTTTAGAATTTAGAACAAAGATCCTATTTTAAGTGATGTAATCATAAAGGATCACAATTGCTGCCCAATAATTTACTATTCCTTTCATTATCTACTGTGAATTATTTATAAAATCAAGCTGTCAACATCTTTCGTACGAAGTTAGTTCAGACATACTTCCTAAAATTTAGGCGCGCAAAATTCAAATAGTGATCAGGCAAGGATAGCTTCATTGTAATCCCTCCATGCACGAGAGAGATGTGTGACAGGAGGATGTCGTCACAGGCTCTGCTAGGGAAAGAACACGGCATGGTGGTATCTATTTATTATATGATCTAAGGTCTTATCTTAACAAGTACTAGCCCCGCCCACCCGCCCTCTATTTTTTTTTAAAGAGTATATCATTGGCCAAAATCAATCGTACTTTAGGAAGTACCAGCCTCGCCCACCCTCTATTCTTTTAGAGGGTATATTATTTGCCAAAATCGTCTTATCCTAGCAAGTACTAGCCCCACCCATCCACTCTATATTTTCTTAAAGAGTATACCATTTGGCAAATTCAGTCTTATCCCCCCCCCCCCCCCCCCCCCTGCTTTCTTAGAGGATATGTCATTTGCCAAAATCAGTCGTATCTTAGGAAGTACTATTGTGTTCATATTTTATTTAGGTTTGTTTAACATTATTAAAATTGTACTGAAAACCTTATCTAAAATGTTTGAAACCTTAATAGCCGTGTTTGTATTAAAAAATAAGTAATATACGGAATAACGACCTAAAGTAAAGTAATACTCCTATTTTATTTTTTTATTTAACGGCTACTGTTAAATATAAAACAATGATTATTTGAAAATATTGTTAATTTTTTCCCCCACAATGTCCACTTAAAATAACACTGATAAGTTACGTATAAAACAAATTAACAGTTTTTTGTGTTTATTGTAAAGTGAGCTATTTTGAGTTAGGTGGTTATCCCATCCATTGCCTCAATTTCTAATGTTACTCAGAACGACACTTTTGAGTATCAAGGAATGCTCGAAAGTAACAATGGTTATAACGTTACATGGAATAGCATAACGCAGCTAAATATTAATGAAAATAAATATAATAAGAATGTGATGTTATAAATATTGTTAGATGAATTGAAAGGATGAGGTCTAAACGAGCGAATAATTTATGTGACCAGAGATCTTTTAAAAAAGATTTCAGATAAATCAAGCATAACGTCAGATTTGTTAGGGTTCCAGAATAATCTGAGTCTAATCTCGCTAAGGAAAATTATTTACCGATCCATGTATTGCACACACAAATTTCCTTAAGTATCTGCAAAAAACAAAATTTCTTAACATCTCTGCCAGTGCGTGTACAGAACGATACTTTCGAAGAGTAAAGCGTGCTCGAAAGTAACATTGTTTGCTACTAAGAGACCGATAAATCAGTGTAGAAATTAAAAATACTAAAGCGTTTATTGCTCGAAAAATAATATTAATATTTAGCTTTCGACAGATATCGAGCGAGCAATATAATTTGTAATCGAGTTACATTTGAAATAACATTTGAACAAGGTACGTGTGTCTTACCAAATTCTGATGATTAATGATGTCTACAGTTCCGCCGTTTAGCTGCATTAATGGGCTTTGGAAATTTTATTAAAATTAATGCTAAAAATTTTAAATTGTACTGAGTCGTTTAGTTTTGCAATTCTGCAGTTTTTAAAATTCATCCCTATTTGTTACATGATTTGAATATGTATTCGCCTGTGGTATTTGCAGTAAGACCTTGACCGATATTGGATGTAACTTGAACCACTGTTCAACTGTTCGTTACGTTTGAGGTTAAGTTGATTGTGTTTTCCAAGTGTTTTCGAACTGAATTGTGTCTTTTTCTGAATTCTTTAAGTAACTGAAAGGCCGTAACGAACAATTTTTTGCTTTTGTTGTGTTTCGTAGTGAAAATCCTCTTAAAAAAACAGTTCTTTTCAGAACTAACTTGTTTTCATTTTGGGCCGTTTTTTGGCTTAAATTTTCAACAAATTCAAGAACTTGATGAAAAATGGCTTTTACATTGGAACATAAGACTTTTATGATTGAGTCTTACTTTCGAAATGGTCAAAAAATCGACGGACAATGGCAATATTCAATTCCTGACACGTGGACCGAATTTAAAGAGCAATTTCCAAACAATATTGTGGATTATGCTAATTTTTGCAATGCTTTAAAGCGTAGTGTGGGACAGTTCAGAGAAACTGGGTCTTTGCAAAGAAAACCAGGAACTGGCAGAACAAAAAACAAGAGAACTCCTGAAAATATTGAAAATGTTCGAGCAATCATGGACGAAGTCCCAATTACGTCTGTTCGTCATTTGCAACAACAAGTGGACTTGTCGTATGGCACTTGCCGAACAATATTGAAAAAAGACTTGGGATTATTTGCTTATCGATTACAATGTGTGCAGGAATTACATCACGGGGATTTTCCAATCAGACGTGAATACTGTGAGTGGTTTTTGAACACATTTGATGATGAACTGCTAGAGAAGACATTTTTTACGGATGAAGCTTGGTTCCACTTGAGTGGTTATGTCAATTCCCAAAATATGCGAATGTGGAACCAAGAGAAACCACCATTCTATGTTGAGGCCCCACTTCATGCACAAAAAATTGGTGTTTGGGCTGCAATTAGCCGAAGACGCATCATAGGCCCATTCTTTTTTAATGGTAAGAAAATGAAAACTAAAGTTTTAACTTTCTTCTTCAACTTATCATTTTTTAGGCAATTTAACAGCCATTCGATATTTGGAAGAAATTTTGGGGCCATTCATAAGAGAACTCCATGATGATGAATTAGCTTTTGGTTTTTTCCAACAAGACGGTGCCACAGCACATACTGCTCAAATAACAATAGCGACATTACGAGAGTTTTTTGACCAAAGAGTTATTGGTCGAAATACTGAACATATCTGGCCTCCAAGATCATGTGATCTTACACCTGCTGATTTTTTTCTCTGGCCGCATTTAAAGAACACAATTTATTGTACTCCTGTTAATGATTTGGAAGTTTTAGGGAACAGAATAACCGAAAAAATCAACGAAATAAACAACAATGAGGTTATGTTGAACAATGTCATTGATGCAGTTCGAAGAAGAGTTTTGCTGTGTTTACAAGAAAATGGGGAACATTTTCAGCATTTATTGTGAATGGGGACTTTAAATAAAGTGTTTAATGCTCTAATGGAAATTAATTGTGAATTTAAGTGTAATTTTTTTTTATTAAAAAGTAAATGATGAAAATTCAAAATTTTGGTTTGTTTTTGGCTGAAAAATGTGTTTGCACAAGTCGATTTACCTCATTAAGGTGAAAGCAAACCATCATCGATTTAAAAGTCGATTCCTTTACTGTGGTCAGACTTGATGGAATTATATTCACCGAATTGGCCCCCACATTTCAGGATACGTTCAAAACAAAGAAGATGAGTCTTACTAAATCAAAAATCTGAACATTTAAATGGTTAATTATTGATTAATTCATTATTTAAATTCCGTTCTGAGTTCACGCCATTTTTTTCTTTCGATCTGTCAATTTCGTCGTCTTCGTTGATTCACTATTAAAGTCTCTCCAATTGGTTACAATCGTCCGACTTGTCAAAAGGGAAAATATTAAAAGATGTCACCCCCTTCGGGAGTTACAGGAACCTTTAATTAATCCGTTTTGTTACGCGCCAAAACAGTTTGTGCTTGAATTGATATTAGCAAAATGTCCAAAAAATATTGCTCTGTGCCTGCTTGTGGAGTAATCAAGGATCCTAGAGACCACAAAATAATGCACAGATTCCCTTCAAACACTGTGAACAAAAGGTTGTGGTGCAAAAAGGTTTTTAATGCTACAAGTAGGTACCCAAACATGAATCTTTTACCTTAGGGAATGTATAGGCATTAAAACCATTTCATGATAATATTGCCAATAATTTATACTTTTGAGAGAAGTTGTTATTATTTAAATAAAAGACTTAAACCCGGCTCTGTTCCTACTTTGTTCCTCCATGGTTCCAAGTCACCGCTACCTGTTCCTACTTCTTCAAGCTACCCAGCAAGTAATAAACGTGATCCAGAATGCAGCTTCATAATTCCTGAGACACATTCCGATAACAATGTAAACACCTCAAAGAAAAATTTTCCTACTGCATATCCCTTTGAAGACGATCCACGCCCATGGCGTTGTGATTTTGGCACCGGTACCGACATTTTGCCTCTTTTTCTAGTAAAAACCGAAATACATGATGTCATTGTGTCAAAAAGTCAGACCATGACAGACATTTAGCTGACATTACAGATTCCTTTCCCTCCCGACGTATGCGCCCTCACATGTCACATTTAAGGGATTGGGGAGACTTTAATAGTGAATCACCGAAGACGACGGTCAATTTAATTATGAAGTTATGAACTATGTGGATCAATCATCGACGTGACTTCTCCGAAACAAATGAAAATCAAGAAATGACTCGATTACAAATTATATTGCTCGCTCGATATAAGATATAACCAATAAATTGAAATGTAATTTTTCTTTCAATTAGAGACCAAAATTGAATATCAGTGAATTAGCAACTCATAATGTTAGTCAGAACGAGACTTTTGAGTATCAGAGAATGCTCGAAAGTAACAGTGGGTATAACGTTACGTGTAATTGTATAACGCAGCTAAATATTAATGAAAATAAATACATATAATAAGAATATTATGTTATAAATATTGTTAGATATATTGTAAAGATGAAATCTAAAGAAATGATTAATTTATGTGTCCAGATCTTTTAAAAAAGATTTTAGATAAATCAAGGATAACGCCAGATGTGTTAGGGTTCCAGAATAATTATATTATCTAAGAGTTCTATTCCAGAAGTGGAAAGAATGCACAGATTTTTACCGATTGCCAAAAGTTATTGTTATTAGGAATGCTATATATGATACTTGTCAAACGCTTTGGTTTTTAAAAAAATTTTAGTCCAAACTCGCTAAGAAAAGTTATTTGTCATAATCTCCGTTTTAAAAATACAAATTTATTTAAATAACTGCTAAATATAAAATTTCACAAAGTCTCTGCCAACACGTGTACCGAAAGATATTATCGAGGAGCAGAGTGTGCTCGAAAGTAACACTGTTTGCTACTTATAGCGATAAGTCAATATAGAAATTAAAAATAATATAACGTTTTCTGCTCGAAAAATAATATTAACATTTTCGGCAGATATAACCAACCAGTTAAAATGTCATTTTTCTTTCAATTGGGAACCTAAATTTTTAATATCAGTGAATTAGCAACTCATAATGTTATTCAGAACGAGAATTTTGAGTATCAGGGGATGCTCGAAAGTAACAGTGGGTATAAGTATGTATAACATTATATGGAATAGCATAACGCAGCTAAATATTAGAGTGTTTGCGCAAGGGTATTGTTCGTTATAACTACTTATAATCATATAAGCAGCCCATTTTACTGTAATTAAAGAAATACAAATTTTACTTTGCGCATATGTACTAAGTTGTTAGAGTTATAAACAACAGATGTTCTAATAAGTTAGGTTATGTGGTCGATTACTGAAGTTAAAGGTAACGTCAACACCTACTTCCATGTGTGACAGGATAAGGTCGAATTTTTGAATTGGCTCCGTTATTTTTATAAAAGTGTAAAGAATCGGTGTTTAGGGTATACAGTACACCGCGCGATATGGTTATGACCATAACGACGGGTTTTTATAAGCGAAAAAGTCCCTTGCACAAATACTTTAATAATGAAAAAGAATTCGTCAAAAGTCATTTCGACACATATATCTAATACTACTATATTGCTAACTCTTCAGAAGTAACATGGAAACGGTGTTCACGGACAGAGAGAGACAGAAGATGTTGTTTCTGTCTATAAGAGTACCGAGGGTCTGTGCGCATGTAGACAAAATAGAAGCGAAAGTACGAAATGTCAAAACGCATCCAGTCACGCTATCGACTACAAATCAACCAAGTACGAGTGCATGCACAGTACTGTTTAGTACCACAGAGAGACAGATAGGTCCGATATATTGCTCTGCCGTTATGTTTTCGGAATCTTTTGGGGCCAGTTAGCAATATAGTACTATTAGATATATGTTTCGACAGGACTTCCTTCGCCCCCGAAGTTCAGTGCCACAAATCCCCTTCTTTGAAAAATTAAAAAATTAGATTCTGGGAATTTGTATTCAATAAAACAAATACAAGAGTATGCTATTTTATAAAATTTATTATAAACATTTTTGTGATGTTATGACATTAATAGGGATATTGGGCAAATTTTGGTTAGCGTTTTACGATATACACGGATATTCTTAGCATACATATAAAATACAATCGGTCCGGTAGGTTTGGAGATTATCTGCCCAATAAAAATCTGAACGGACGGTCCACAGACTGAGCCACAAAACCTAATTTTTCATACTCTATGGGTCATGAAATGTCGAGAAAACATAGAAGTCGCCAGTCGCCCTCCGATTGACTCGATTACAATAATTTCTTTGCTTAGGGTCAGAAAGTAAAAATAAAATTCGCAATATTAAATTTTATAATTTTTCGAACATTTTTTATTTTATAGAAAGTGTATTTCCAAAACACCGAAAACACACAAAATATTTGTCGAGCGACGAATAAAAATTTTTGAACCGAAGAGATTAACTGTGACTTATTTATAATTTTATAAACAACGACTTTGACGACGCCGTAAACACTTAGCAATTATTTGATGTTTCCGGGCTATTTTAAGATTACCATGGCAACGGAAAGCAAAAAGCACGTGTGCCGGAAGTTCGACCTCCCGCATCCTGGTGAATGTGAAAAAGTCATAAAAAAAGTTGATGAGTGCAAAATATATATTTACAGCACATTATCAACGGGAATATACCTTTCTCTGCAATATTCGTAGTATTAAAAATGTTAATGTTTATACATCGGAAGAATGTCACGTAGACATTTGTTTGATTTGAATAAGTTTATCGCCTCAGAACTGACGACTAAAATTATTCATAAGCCTCAATTGAACAAAATACTTTGAATGTTATTATTATAATTCTTACCTTATCATTATTTTATTGTTATAAAGACGGGCGTGTTCTTACATTTTCGAGAAAATAGGGTGGCTCGTTCTTCATTTGATGAATAATAAATTAACTGATTCATTAATTTCTTTGAGTCACCTGTTTAAGAAAATCTACAAAATATGAATGCAATAAGTTACAAGTATAGTCTGATCATATTTTGCACATTTTCGAAAGAATTTATTCGGAAAAATTTTAAGATGACGTAATCAATTTTTTGAGGTTGATAAACAGATATATCTTGATTAAAAATTTACCATGCCTACAGTAACTTCAAAACGTCAAGATTTTAAAGTATTCAGTTTTGCAACTCTTGATTCAATCAATAAAATAAATTGCCTCAATCATTAATTTTTTTCAGGCACCCCGTATAAGCAAATCTAAAAATATTAATGCAGTGATAAATCACAAATACAGACTCATCATATTTTGCACATTTAAGATAGGATTCCTTCAGCAAAATTTTGGGATGGTGTCATCAATTTTTTAGGAGGGATGAGCAAATTCATTTTGATCAAAAATATACCATGCTTATGATAACTTTAAAACGTCTCCAAGATCTCAAAGCATTCGGTTTTGTAGCACCTGATTAAATCAATAAAATAAATTCACACATTCATTAATTTTTTTGAGTCATCCTGTATACGCAAATCCAAAAAATATGAATGAAATAATAAATCACAAGTACAGACTCATTATATTTTGTGCATTTTAGATAGAATTTATTCGGCAAGCTTTTGAACTGACGTCATCAATTTTTTGGAGCGTGTAAGTAAATATATTTTGATCAAAAATTGATCATGCTTATCACAATTGTAAACTATCTGCAAGATTTCAAAGCATTTGGTTTTGCAGATTCCAAATTAAATTGCAAAATGTTGTTTCATAATTTTGATTTTTTTTCCAAAAATCTGGACGTTTCCGGTAAAAACTCATCACGGAGTCATAAGCTACATGTGTAGCACTATGTTATTTTATACAATTTAAAACCCATTTACTATGTATAATTTTGAAATGACGTCATCACATTGGTGCGGATGATTAGACAAATTTTGGTTAGCGTTTTACCATCTACATGATATTTCTAATATAAATACAAAATTTGACAACAATCGGTCTAGTATTTTCGGAAATAATATAATATAATATAATAATAAAAATACGGAACGGCAGACAGACGG